GTATACGGAAGATCAGATAACCAGAAAGGATTAGAAAGATGGGACTCTGACAACAGACCAACCAAAGACCTATAGCTCAACAAATATGCTGAACAAGATCAAAATGGACTGGACACACTCTCAGGGGACCGTCGAATAACATCGCTCGCCAGGCCATCATTCGTGTGCGACCCGTACAGGAAGTGACGAGTTGGGCTTGTGTCCGAGGATGACTTGGAGAAGATCTTGTGAAGAAGAGACGAGAGATGCAGACTTTTTAAATTTTATCGTGAAGCGGGCGGGTTAAATACAACAACAACAACATTCCGTTATGTAAAAAGGACAAATGATTAGAAATCATCTATTTTATTATTTTTGTGTACTACTAGTCAATAAACTGTACCGTGTGTGTGTATTCAGACCGTTAATGGCCTATACACCTATTCAAGATGGTAATTGCGTAAACCACCTTGCTGTTAGTTAGTTATGCAAATGAATTTAGTCTTCTGTTATCTTGTGCACAGAATTCACTAAGGCATTAAAAGTTATCTCTTGTAACATTTGATACTGTTAAAAATGCATTGTACTGGCGAGTTTCTTTACTAGAATAAAATATTTCTAAGGCTTAGTTGACAAGTATTTGATTTGTTTCAAGTTCGATCAAGAATTGATATCATTTCGAGAAGCATTGGAAACCACCAGGGAGTACGAGACAGTTATTTCTTTTCAGTTTGGAAACAAACTTGAAATAGATCAAATCCCTACAGACTAACACTCTGGTGACTGGCTATAGCATGAAGTTGCTTGGAGTTCTAGTGAGAAGTTGTGACCAGTGAGGTCCATCGGGTCGGGCGTGAGGACAAGTAAGTACTCGCCGATGACATTGGCTAGTGGTTGCGCTCAGATCACGAATTGGCAGAAGTTGGAATTCATCGGTCATTGGATCAGGTCCCGCGCTGGCTAAATGAATAGTCTACGAGTTTGCCTTGTAACCGGAAAGTGTTGGATTGAATGCCTATTGGATGCGTACTGATGTCGAGTCACAGACTAGTAAGACACATCTCCCGACCGATAGCTGCTACCTTGACGTGGTGGTCGGGCTTGCATATCGCAATGACCCAATGAGCTACACTGCCTGGAACTTATGTTCCTGCAGGTCCTACCATGCCAGAAAGGTTGTTTGGATAGCGGTTAGACAAAAAGCAGCTACCCAATCCAATATTATGATTCAAACAAGTTCACAAAATATCATACCGGAACGGTCGGGGCCCGGATTAACAACGAACGCGCTTCCTGCTGCCGTGTCACAGGACAGAAGTGATATATATGCTACTGAGACACACCAAATAAAAAAGAACAACCAAAAACAGGCCGCGTGTGACCGGCCTCAAGCGGTTGTCCCCTGGGCTCTGTGGTCACGCAACACTCTTTCTGTTTCAGGTTCCCGAAGAATCAATCAACTTCCACGGTGTGGACAACTGGGAAGTAACAACCGCCCACACACTTCCAAAAGCACACGAAGCGTTCCTGATCATCACTCTCCCTTACTCACATCACCTCAAGACACATCTGTTCAATACTCCGTGCTGGTTTTCAGAGGTTGTCGTACTGATATCATTCCATGATCAAACTTGAAATAAAATATTTAAAAAAACACACTTTTCTAATACTGTCTGGAAAGTTTTTTAGGCAAAACCTTATAAGTACATTCTAGTGATTAATATTTTTTGAGAAATACTTTTGAAAACTGTCTATTGAACAGTTGCGTTCTGTGAACTCCATCAATTTGAATGTCCAGGATAAGTTACTCACTGCCAATATGACATAGTAGTGACCACTATCTCATCAATTGTGACGGAAGTTAGATATCATGCTCTTTTCAGTTTCGACTTCGTAGTGGAATGTATGCGTGCTCTATAGAAGATGGAATATTTCTGTATCCGAACCCGAATTATACTGTGCATTTTGTAAATCTGGAAAGTTCCAAACTGGGCAAAAAAAAGCAAACATCAATTTCTTTATAATTTTCTGTGATTTTTTTGTTTGGTTTCGGTATCTGATGTAAATAAACGGAATAAATTAACTTCCCACAAATTTTCTTATTTCAAAAATGTCAGACAGATAAATACACACAGAACAGTGCACTTAAGCCCATGAACTGAACTTGCCACACTTTGAAGATAAATGTAACAATACGACAATTAAAAAGTACCATAGGTGTTAGAAAAAAAATAGTTTAGACAAGATTAGTGAAAACATTCAGGATTATAAGGATAAATAATGAAAATATTTACACTTTTATGATTGACTTTGGGTCATTTTGAAAATTTTATTTAGTTATCTGTACTCCCACAAACTGGAAGACATGCAAACGAAAAGCAACAAGTTAGCAGAAGAAGCATCAAAGATAGGACTTCAGGTGAACATAGATAAAACAGAGGTGATGAAAATTCCTGGGCAACACCACCAACAGCAACAACAACAACTGACAACAATCACCATAAATGGGAGGAACCTGAAAGAAACAATCTCCTTTACCTACCTTGGAAGCATCGTTTCAACTACAGGCGGAACTGACGAGGATATCAAAGCAAGAATCGGGAAAGCAAGACAAGCGTTCACTACTCTCAAGTCTGTGTGGGGGTCAACAGCACTCAACATCAAAAATAAGATCCGAATTTTCAACTCCAATGTGAATTCAGTGCTACACTATACGAATCAGAGACTTGGCCAGCGCGTCATAAAGAGCATCTCAAACAAACTACAGACCTTCATTAACAGTTGTCTTCGCTCAATACTCAAGATCAGATAGCCGACCAGAAAAGATCAGCAACAGAGATCTCTGGCAATGAGCGAACCAACCAGGAACCGATTGTGAAACAAATAGGCAGGAAGAAATGGAGATGGATTGCAGGCTATACTCTGAGGAAACCATCAAGTGATATCACTAGACAAGCCATTGCTCGAGTGGAACCCGAAACGGAAGCGGCGAGTTGGTCGTCAGTGCAAGGGTGAGGGTGACTTGGAGGAGGTGATGTGAAGAGGAGATGAAAACGTGTGGGAAGACTTGGAGCCAGGTGAAGACTCTAGCAGAGAACCGAACGCAATGGAGACGCACGGCTGAAGCCCTATGTTCCTGTAGGAATTAAAGGATACAATAATAATAATAATAGTCTGTACTCCTTTCGATGATTTCATCCAGGTGATGCACATTACTCCTCGTTGTCAGACAGTCGACAGCAAACTTCATGAATGTGTATCGTCATATGATCTGCCTGCCTTTTACTCTATTTCTAGTCTAATTCTATTTTTTACTTCGATTGCTTATCGGACAGCTGATTGGATAAATTTTCACAATTTTTTCAGTCTGTATATCCTGATCACCTAACCTCAAATGACGAAATCTCAGCCTTGATACAAAAGCATCTTTTAAGATTTCCCAGCTTACGTCACCCTTGACGTAGACATGATATTCGGCTATTGATCAAAGGACAAGTATACTGCCCATCGGTTCGCTCCGTCCTCCTTTATGACTTTGACGAATGTCCGTTGAAAATGGAAGATAGGAGAAGGCTAGTTGGGTTTGATCCCACGCGTCTACATTCTATCTCCCATGTTAGGTGTTACAATAATGTGACGTTGGGCATCTAGTGTTAGGTAAAGAAAGAAAATCAATCGAAGAGGTTGTGAAGCCACAGCAGTTGAGATGGCTAGGAAATGTGTATTATGCGTACCTATCTAAAGCCTTCCTTGACGCGTAACTTTAACTGACATAGCGTCAGAGTGGAAAAGAGTTAGAGGTAGTTAAACGAAAACCATGAAGTCTTTGACAATTAGTTTGAACCATGTAGAGAGGTGCAGACTGCCTAATTGAGGTTCTAAGAACCAATGGCTGGAGACAATTGGTGATATGGCTCAAAATCGTTCTCAGTAGGGAATCTCTTCTCTTTTGTCATTTGTCTAAATTTGTGTTTTAAGTGGAGTGTGGCAAGTTGAATTAGTACACTTCTGTGTAAGGTTTTGAAACCGGCCAGTCAGTCATCTAGCATTGGCAAACCTCATATTAGAATCGCTAGTTATTATTATTATTTCAATCCTTTGCACTCCGAGTAGAACATAGAGCTTCAATCTTGCGCATTGCAGTTTCAATAGAAGTGGTGTTTTTTGATGGGGTGACGTTGCAAGCCTCACACCCAATCTTTCCCATGTTAGACGATGCTACAGGACTGGACTACATTGACTCCTAGCTTAACGATTAGGAGTGAAGTGGTAGAGCGTGCTGACCACTTCACTTATTTGGGGTTGTTCGCTGACGAAATTTCAGCTGGAATACAAAAAGCTCGTGTGGCATATGCCAACTTACGCCATCTCTGACGTAGACGTGATATCCGACTCGCTGTAGACCAAAGGGCGTGCATACTTGTCAGCACTTCACTTCGTTGGTGACATGGCTCAAAGTTGTTCTCAATGGCGCAGATGCATTCACTCTTTATGATTTATCATATCCAATAAAACTCTACTGTTCTTCCATGTTACTATTCTTTTTGCCTCACACTTCTGTTTATTATCTCCATTTACTCTCTTCTCTTAGTTTGTGTTAAATGGAGTGTGGTGACTCGAACCGCTGCACATCTGTGCCAAGTTCTACGTTGAAATCAGAAAGTCAGTCAGCCAGTTTCCATTGTCTACCGAACCTACTACCGGCTAAGCGAGGTTTAGGAGTACGTCGGCCGGTAATCGAACCTTTCTGGTTATGGAAATATGTATTTATATTTACCAAGAGTTAATCTCTCACGTAATATTTCTTGGAAAGGTTAATGATTATCAATCTATTAGGCTGTATATTCAGAAGAGTTGTATTGTCGCTGTTTTGTTGGAAACTCAGATGTTTAATCTCATCATTGTGTTACCACATTTGAGATGTTTCCTTTAGAATCGCATGTAGCTTTCCCCATGCCCATCTGTCATCTACTTTCTAGAACTTTTAAATTATCTTTTTTGTGTTTTTTTCTGTATTTTAGAATGGAATTTCCTATCACAACCATCAGTTGCCCGAAATGATCTGATCTCTGTTCAAATGAACACAAATCAAACACCAAATCTACCTAAACTGTCATCTCACCAGTCAGATGTATTTCGATCTTCAAGTGGTGGGCGTGTTTCTACTTCAAGTTCTAATACGCCTATATCAAATTCTATGTCATCTACTCCTGGTTCAGCATCAATAGGAAGTCTACTACCTCGATCACCTCCTGTACAAAAAACAGATAAAACTATACCACCATCACAGGATGAAACAGTTACAGCTACAAAAGCAATAACAATACCTATTGAATTAGACAAGCCACAGCATGATATTATAGGCGATAAGCTGCCTCCTGTTTCTAGTCAAAATGTCACCTTTAACCCTTTGACCTCAGACAGCGTAACATGTTATTCATTACCACATCCTCATCATTTATCTAAACCATATATGAATGTTGGTATCCCTTCTGAAAATCCTATTGATATATATTATCCGAACAATGAAAGTGATGAGATAGGTGATATGTATAGTAATTATGGTAAAAAGTCGTATGATTATTTTGCCACAGATAGTGTTCTTTTAGTCCGATCGTCTAGACGGCGTAAAATTCGTCCTGATTTACAAGTGATGCCGTCAATGAATACTAATCTAAAAAGCTCTGATCCGCCTTTTCACTATCATCATCACCCTCCTCCTCCTCCTCTTCCTCCTCCTTCTATCCATTCTACTGTCGCTTACTCATCATCACATTACCAGGGAAATGAAAATGACTCTGCATTGTCTTCAATTTCTTCGTCTACTACTGCTGGTGTTGGTGCTGGTGCTCCTGTTGCCTCGACCGTCCTAGCATCTACTTCTCCTGCTACTGTTGTCGTTCATACAATCGGCCCTTCAGGAATGATATCTAAAAGTAGTATGACAACTGATTGCTGTTCATCAGGTTATCAATCACACTCGAGACAATCAAGTCTTGAATCTTAAGCTAACTATAATTAGCTCTGATCAACTCTTATTATTATTATTGGCAGTATGATTGGGTCAACTTGATAATCCTGATCAGTAGTGGCATGTGTATATATAAATCTGGTAAGTGTAAAGAGTGTTTATATATAACTTCCAATTATATTCCAATCAGTAAACAATAGTTTCTTTGATGCATTTCAGCGTAAATTAAGTGGGTGTGGTTCACTGTAAGCCTTGTCTATGATATTCATAAATAGCTGTATTAATTCACTGTTGGCATCAGCAAGTAAAATTCGATCACTCATGTAAGACTTTGTGTTACTGCTTAGTTACCCACAACAGATTTGATTCATACATTAGGCTAACAGTCCTGATTGTAGTACCCAGTCTGCCGAGTTGGATTGGGTGGAGCCTGATTTGAACCTTCAGTATCAGCTAATTCTAAATGAAGTGTCGAATTCAGTGGGCTCTATCATAATCCTGCCTTTATTCCAAATAGTACTTTTGATAGCCTGTGGAGTTTTCAGAATAAAATACGATGCTAACCTACCACACACATATCCTTCATCCCACGACGCCACATCATTGGCTGACCACCTCGCTGCTTTTTCCACTGAGTCCCAGGGATACCGATCTGAGACCTATACAGTGAGCAAATAATTAACGGGCATTTACATTTATAATACTGTTCAACAAGAATATCAACTTAAAATTAAGTAGAAACAGTGGCAATAATGTATATATATACCATTTGACAGGGACAACTGACTGATTTCCGATAAAAAGCTATTCATTTTGGAACAGTGTGACCGAGATGTCAGATCAACGACATACTTCCACTAAGTTGGCTTCATCAGAATGAAACAAGTCATGCAAGAATAAAATGGATCAGAATTGGAGAAAAAGCAGCTCCTTGAGGAACACCGTCTTAAGTCAGTAAAACAGTGGGAGACTTTTCTTTGTATACAGTGTACTGCTTCGTATGGGAAGAATAAAATAATATAACCATTTATTCATCCAACACCTTGTTCGTGTCACAGAAAGCTTGTTTAACTAAAGAGACCTGGCTACAGAGTCAAAGACAGATGTGTAGTGTAGGGAGTCATACCGAACATATTTACTATCTCTGTCAAAACCGGAGACCATATTACGATGTCAGACAACAGTGACATGTTGAGTACACCAACAATGTTTTTGAACAATTTGTGAAAGCAGTCTTTTCATTATTTTAGAAATGTTGACTCATGACTCACATTTTTTATTTTATTTTGATTATAGCTTGAAATCACATAGTACTTTTGGTAAAAATGTGGAATTTTCAGCTTGTGATATCGGTAGCCAAAATTTTGCAGGTCGACAACTGATATCAGGTTCGCGTCGGCAGGGGATCGAATCTCGGACCATGTGCATGGTCGGCGAGAGTCCTAACGTCTGTTCCACCGACACACATAGTGACTTAGGCATTGCAAGAATTTTAATGAAAAATGATTCCTTGAAAATATCAGTGAGAGGATGACATCAAATACCCACACATTTTCTGAGGCTATTAGCTGGCACACCATTTGGACCCCAGGGATTGAATGGATTTCATTGACCGGAGACATTTGAGAACCTTATTTATACAAAAAAAAAGCAGATCGATCATTCGTTACACTTTCAGTATTAGTGATGGTAACATCCGCCAGCCGACATATGTAGGACTCATTAAGCCTAACAGCATCGCAACTTCAGCCGAAAATGGAAGGAGTTTACACCGCTTCTGTGATACGAACTAGAAAGTATCATTTCACTGTAATTTGTTGATGCGTAATTTACCGCATAACATTCTAAGCATAGTTTGTTGTTGATAACCACATAATTTTCAAAATTTTCGTTTATCTGTCACCATACTGTATCATTCTGTTTTCTATGTGTGTGTGTGTGTAGTGTCATAGAATAGAAGAAGTATTCAGAGAAATTGTTATTTTCGTTGTTTTAGAATCAATACAATAATGAAATAATTATACATCCTTCAAATTAAACAACATATGAATATCTTAAAGTAATTCTAACATTCAGGATTCAATTAGTGTTTACTTTTAATGATTAAAGTAGAAATTTGTTCCTTCACGCTTACACCGTAGAGTGTTTCCTGAGCTTACTTGTTATTGATGAAATATATTTTAAACTATATTTACAAGTGGCATTTAGAGGAAGGAGAACATTTGCTGAGTATAGGCTACTGATATTATCTTATGATTGAGATATTTGCAATGAGAGATTCTTCTCCCATTCCTTTGTGGTTTTTGTTTCAATAAATTCTAGTGTAGATTTCACCACCATCAGATATCACAGTCTGAGAGTGATTGAAAACCGCGGGGCACTCAACAGTGAGCTGTTTCCTCGTAGTTTGAGACTTTTCGTCAGTGCACACCTACGACCTGACCAGGTTTGGAGCCCGGCACATTTATGTTACAAGGCCGAATTCGTTTATCATTCAGCCACTTGAGTTTGAATTCAATGAACCATGAATTCTGACTTCTGTCAGTTCTTGATAAATATTGATCCGAATCCTCAGAATAATCCATAATCTGTGTACTAGTTTTCAGCTTGTTGGTAACTGATTGATGGATGAATGTTCTGAAGCTGTACTGAGGAGGTAGGGATCATTGGGGTCCACCAAGTCGGAGTGAAGTGAATGCTCATCGTAGTCATTGGTTGGTTGCAGCGGTATATCACGAATTGACTGAAGTTAGAATACACGGGATGCGTTGTTGATTCAGAAGTAGAATTCTCACCAACTATGCACGTGGTCCGGTGTTCGATTGTGTGCTGGCGCCTACCTTTACCTCTTTTAGTCGGTTGTAAGCCTAGTAAAGAGGCAAGGTTGTGCGGGAGACTACCAACCTGAACCCGTCAAATGTAGCAATTCTACTGAAACTTCAATGCTCAAGCTTGCAGCCCTATATTCCACTGGGAGTGTTGTGCAGACAAGTTATGTGGGAAAATACTCCATATCACTCACACTATCAGCAGTTGAATCTGCCTTATGACTGTAAGTAAGTGGCAAACATGTTCGTGTGCTACTTCAGCTTACTCCAGGCTATACCAGTTAGCAGTAATAGAGAATTTGGCTTGAATGGATGAATAGCTAAACACTTCACAGTTGTGTTCATTCAGTGTAAGTGTTTATCGCTAAAGCTTACATGAAGAGTGTATGGAGTTTTGCTTCTTCTATCTCTCCTTTTCCCTATAAAACTTCTGTGAAATAGTTTACGTATGTGTTTCCTAAACATTTGTTCAGTTTTCCGGCTCGTGTAAGCGTATACATGCACACACACGCACTCACACACACATAGACACCCATGCCATTCACACAACTCTTAGATTGTCACTTCGATAAGTGTCTTTTGGATTATTTTACCCAGATTAAAGTGTATCACTTTAATGGGTATGTTTGATGCTGAATACTTATACGAAGCATAAATTAAACTTATTTTGAAGATTTAATTTGTATGGATTTGATTTGTTTGAAGTTTGATTACGAATTTGTAGAAGTTTGAATTCATGGACGATTGGATGAGGTTCCTGTGGCTGGACAGTGTACGAGCTTGACTTGTAACCGGAATGTCTTGCGTATGAACTCCGGTGGGTGCGTACCGCTAAAGAGTCCCGAACTAGGACGAAACAGCGCTCTAGTTCTCTCTGATGTTTTACAAGGATTATGTCAACTAGTGTTCAAACTAGTAGCTTGTTAAATCCCCACAAATTAGCTATTGAGATGATGTATCTTGAATTTTGAACATTCCTCTTGTAGAGTGGTTAAATTATCTATCCATTAGTATTGTGGACTACAGTTGTAGATCTAAATGAAAACACTAAATTTACTAGAAACTTCAGTAGTGTACTATGGTTGCTTGTGCAAACTAGTTCCTCCTGAACGAAATTTGAACCATATCTATTAAAGTAAGGCTTACAATGAATTCTTTTAAGTTTTACTGTGGGCATGTTTAATATATCAGAATTAATTTTCGTCTTGTGTTGATATCATTTCACGCGTCTGAAGTGAACCGATCAGCGTACATCTCACTGATGAGTTTAAGTAAAACTGGTTGACTCTTCTTCACATTTTTAGATGCACTCTATCTAGCTTGTGAACAATGTTCATTTCTCATAGTGTATAAATTGATCCTAACAATAACTTTTTGTTATTCTTTACTATCTAATGAAATTTTGATCGTAAAATAGTTGATTCATTGCAGAGAGTGAGGGAGAATTCAATTAACTGTTCTTTACTGTTCTCAATTTGACAAGCCCTAATAACCACAAGAGCTTAAATTGAGATTGCATATTGTGCTGTATTCATCTATTTTGTTAAATGCCTTGACCTAATTAGTTCATCAACTGTTGCAGTATTGTCTTGTAGAGCAACCTTAGATTTATATCCTCAATCGTTTTGTTCACACCTTTTTGAATCCAGTCGAAATTTGGCCTGATTTGTTGGATAATCTTTGTTAGCCCCATTTTGCCTTATTAGATTTCCTCTTATTTCGTTGGCTGACTTTTATTAATATTATTGTTATAAGGAGAAATAGATATGTCCCCACTTTTGTGTTGATTGAATAGGCGGATAGTTTGAATGAGAACATTAGCTGTTTGCATACTGAATGTGCACAGCACAACTTGGAACTATGCAAACAAAAGAAAATGATTCGACAGCTTCTACTATCATGGTAACAACCTTCTTGATTTCCACTTACTTCGTTGTTGTTCGTTTGTTCCTATAACCTTTACGTAATTCCATATTTTCATTCGTTTCTATAAGCAGCCTGATTGCAAGTCTAATACCCTTATTCAACTCCTCTTATTCATTGACTAATCTTAACAACTATGATTGTGACAATTCATCACTTTATTCGCCATCCTCTCTCATGAAAAATTGTATTTAAACGCGATTGTACAGCTAAAGAAGAAAATGAATTCACCTAAAAGTGCGTATTTGCTGAACTACTTGTTGTTTTTGTCAACAGAGATATTACCCTAGATCCTTATGTTACACTTTCAACTCAAGGGGTGACTAGTACTACTACTACTAATAATAATAGTAATAATAGTCAAGTACCCCTATTTTTTTTGTTACAGTT